TACTGATGAAAATCAGGGTACGCGACGTGCCGGAACGTGTTCGTGCCGTCGCGCCCCACATTACTTCCCCGCCAACACTATTCATTTTGATAAATGATTTTATGTTTGCATTAATTGTATTGTTTCCCTACCTAAGGTATACTCTGATTTTCATTAATGCTTTTGTATTTATGCTTATACTTTCAGTATTATTTTTCTTTCTTCCTTCCTTGGCTAGTTGATCTGCCAGTTTATTCGATTCAATTCTTGTGTATATCTTAACTTTTTCAAATACTGTAAGTCCTTTTCTTTTTTCTTTACTTTGTTGGATGTAGGCAATGTTTATTAGTGCTATATAGTTATTTATGTTGTTTCCTGTTATATCCATTTGAATGTTGTTCAATGTTATTTGGCTATCTGTTTTATTATGATGTTTTATTCTTTGTTCACCATGTATAGTGTTACTGCTATGGCGGTGCTTTCAGCCATGGTGGAGGATGACCAGTTTGTTATTTTGCTGCTGAACGTTACCATTTCTTTGGTTTCATTGTTCTCGAATATAATTCCTATACCCATCTCAGTGTATTTTTGATTTCGTTCAAGTAATCCATCTGTGAATACTGTTATGTCTTTCCAAGTCTTTATTTTCTTTTTAATTTCTTTTATTTGTGCTTGTTTCATTTCACTGGATGTTGTTATTGCTGTTGATGGTGAGTTTTCTTTTTGTTCTTGTTTTGCAATCATTGACTGTGTTCGAACTCTGATTAGTTGTATTTGATCCTCTATTATCTGTTCCATTTTTTTAAATTCTGTATTTATCGAATTTGAAGATATTAGCATATGCTCTTGTTGCCCTGTAATATAGCCATGTATTTTGCTTGATCTTGTTATATTGACCACCAGAAGCTTCCTTGCTTGTTTTTTATTAATTGTGAAAACACATGTTGCTTGTCTTTCATCTGTATTATATTGGCAACCTTGACATTTGGTAATGGGGGAGTTTCCTGCAATCTGTGTATAGTGTCTGACATATAATTGTTGATCTGTTTTCTTATATCTTTTGTCAATTTTTCCATATACCATATTGCTTCCAATTTTTGCGATTATAAAATTATTTTTCTGGATAGCTTTTCCACTTGTTTTGATTAGTATGTTATCTGGCCAGTTCTGTTTCGTGATCCATGCATTGTCTATAATGCTTGGTATAGCAATTATTGCTTGCAGCTGATATAGAACCATTTTGGGATTTTACCTTTCGTAGCTTTACCCTTTCCCTTGTAACTAACTTGAAACTAACTTAAGGCTTTCTGTTGGCTTGAATTAGTAAGCTGTTCTAGATATATTATTTTGTGTTTTCTCATGCCGTTTTTGTTTTGTTCATACTATTTGTAATCTATCAGTTCTTCAATCAGTTATAAAGATTTTTTCTCTGGTATTCAAACAATTTTTTCCGGTTGTATCGATTCGATTGTAAAGTTATTGTTTTTCATTAGCTCTAGAATTTGGCTATGTAGGCTTGATTGATTGTGTTTTCTGGTGCTGACATTTGTCTCTAGAATGCTGTTTGTTGTCCATGCCCGATTTTGTAGATTTTGTAGTCTTCTTCGAGTTGTTTCTCCTATTAGTGTATTCGAGTTGCAGTCTCTGATTAATCTTTTGATGTGTTGCTTCAACTGTTGATCATAAATATGTGAGATGTTGTATGTGGTATGTAGATGTATTCCGCTATTAATTGTTGTTGACGCTACTCTGATTTTGTGTTTCATTAGTATTGTGATTTTGCTGTTATGCTTGTCGCATTCTTCTTGTGTTAGTACTGTGTCTTGGAACAAATAATCTATTGCTGGTGCAAGCACGTAATTCAGTATGTATACTAGTTGTTTGTCTGTGATATATATTCTTTTTAATATATTGATACACTGCTGTATCATGTTTTTGATCAGTTCTTTTTGATGTTTTTTGGCACCTGATGCTGTAATCCATGTCCTGAGAATTTTGACTGATGCCTTGTGATGTTCTGCTTGTATCATATGGTTGTTCCATCTGATCTTGTTGTGTATATGATCTTTGTTTATTGTGAGCAGGAAGAACTTTTGCAGATTAATGCTTAGATTGTTTAAACTTGCAAATAACGTAACAATTTTTCCTATTTTTTCCAGGTTCTTCTTGCTACTGGTGATTCATGTGCTGTCATCCATATATGTAACTGAGAATATCCTCAACTTGAACTTTTTGATATTCTTGAATCTAATATTGGATATTTCGTAGTAATTGTATATCCCAAATTTTCCTGTTCTATCTTGCAGATAAGGGGATCATAGTATATATGCCATAGAAGGGGGAAGATTGTGTCACCTTGGTCTATGCCTATTTCTGGGCTATAGCTTTCACTAATTCCATGGCATGTGATAATTTGATTGTTTTTTTCAGAGCTGAGTTTCAACAGTATTGTAATGATATTTTGGGTATTTTGATCCTGATCAAGGAATCCTCCAGTCTTTCTTTGTCTATCAAATCGTATGCTTTGCTAATATCTTGGGTTAGGATTCAGCAGTCTTTTTGATTTTCTCTGGTATCTTCGAGGATATTGTTAATAATCATAATTGGCTCATATGTGCCCCCTCCAGGAAGACCTGCCCAGTTGAATGGTGACAATATCTTGTGTTTAGTGAGAATACTTGCTAGTCTATTGTTAAGTGTTTTGGTAAAGATTTTTTAATTGTTTCTAAGAGTGTAATTGGCCTGATCAAATTAAGGTCATAGTGCCAATCTTTTTTTTTGGGCATTGGATATATCAATTTGTTTTGTCAAAATCGTGGAATTTTTTGTGTTTTGAGCACTCTGTTGAAGATATTTGCTATTCTTGTATGAGCAGTTGTTCCCATTTTTTTAATCATGTCATAGCTGAGTTGGGATTTGCCTGGGGCAGAATTATTGTTCATTTTTTTAATCGTTTCTTGTATTTCTTATATTGTGTAAGGTTCAGTAAGCTGTGCATACCATGCTGAATTTATTTGTGTTTTTGGTGTGTATTCAATTCACCATTTAAGTTCTTCGATTTTCTGTTTCTGTGGTATTGGAATGCAATTTGTTTGTAGTGTTCTACTGCCATTTTCTTGATAGTGATTGGGTCTGTGATCGTGTCTGCTTCTGGATCTTTGGGAAGTAGCTTGTCCATCTTTATGTGTATTGGTTTTCTATTAAGGAATGAATCAATCATCTTTTTCTTTGCGAATTGATAATTATATTGCCTTATTTCTATGTATTTTTGAATTCAAGCTTGTTTTCTATGCTGAAGGAGTAATCTGAAGGCTTTTGCCATGCTTGTCCTCAGGTTACGTACCTCCTGAAACCAGTGAACCAAGCTTATGCCCTTGGGTATATCTGTGAGTTTGGTCGATAACAGTTTTGCTGTTTGGCTGTTTACTTTAATCCACTCATTTACTTGTCTTGCTGTACTTTTAGCATCTGTTTTTCCTAACAGGTATCTCTTTGCAATAATTAACGCTTTATTAAGTGCTGTGATTGTATGTGCAGTTTTTTTATCTGTCTTATCTGTTCCCTTGGCATTTTTTTTTTTTTTTTTTTTGGCTAAAGTGAGACTTTACTCTAGTTTATTAATATAGATAGTTTTTTATATACGAATTACATATATAAAGTTTAAGCTATATTATTTTATATTAACTAGAATCTACCCACAGGTACTATAGACCATCCGGGTGTAGCCTGC